TGGCAGAGATGACGCAAGTGGAAGCCCTCTGGATTCCCAGTCTCAGCCAATCAGTGGAAAAGAGGTTGGGGTGTTCTGTCCAGTTAAAACATTCCCTGAAGGCAAACTTGTGAGTTTAACTGATCTGTTCCTTCGTATGGCATTCCAGAGATTCCTGCACTGGGTATTTAAAAAAGGATACTGTCATCTCACTTCACTAGAGTCCAGCAACCGAAATCAGAGGACTTCTCTTCTAGAGAAACCTGAAAGTGCCCATCAATCTAAAATGGTTAACTCATTTTCAGTTTTGGAGAATATGTGAGATCGGGAAACACTGAAATCCTCAGTCCAACCGCTTCACTCTACTCTTAAAGAACTGAAATTTGGAAAAGGTCCAATAATTCTGCCCGAGATTATGTAGCATGTTGGTTGGCGAGTAGGGGCAGAACCCAAGTCAAGTGTTCTTTCCAACACACTACCTAGTAGTGGAAGGGGAGCTAGAAGGAAAAAGCAAAATCCCCAGGAGAAGAGTTAGTGAGCTGGTCCTGTGCAAATTCTCCCCGCCTCCACCTTGGGTTTAAGATTCAAGCTTGGCCTTCAAAATCACTTCCCATTTCAAACTACTTTCCTCACTTTCACATGACTTTACCAACCCTAATTACTATCTACCAGCAGCCAGTATCTTACAAAGACTGATGAATGGGAAAAGTATTCTTTTTCCTAGCTGCCACCCTATCAGCGTTACAGCTAATAATCAGTGCTATGGTAGTTTCCATCTCAGGTTTTTAATAAGGGGTAATTTTGATGACATGTCCCCCAGTTTTGTCATAACCCCAGAATTACTCTCCAGAGTGAAATCCTCGATGTCTGATGAGGCCTGAATTACTTTTAAATGTCTTCTCACATTCATTACACTCATACTCTCTCCTTCCAGTGTGAATTTTGAGGTGTTCCACAAGGATTGAGCTTCGACTAAAGGTTGCCCCACAGTAGTCACATTCATAGGGTTTCTCTCCAGTGTGAATTCGGTGATGTTCATTAAGAGACGAACTCTGACTGAAGGATTTCCCACATTCTTTACATTTATAAGGCTTCACACCAGTATGAATTCTCTGATGACGACTAAGGAGTGAATGGGTAGGGAAGGCTTTCTCACACTGGCTACATTTGTAGGGTTTTTCTCCTGAATGAAGTCTTTGATGATAAATAACAGATGTAAAATGGCTAAAGGTCATCCCACAATCATTACATAAGTACGGTTTTTCTCCAGTATGAATCCTCTGATGTCGAGTAAGGCAAGAATTCTGTCTAAAGGCCTTGCCACATTCACTACATTTATAGGGTTTCTCTCCAGTATGAATTCTCTGATGTTTGGAAAGGGACGAGCTATGACTGAAAGATTTTCCACAATTGTTACATGTATAAGGTTTTTCTCCAGTGTGAATTCGCTGATGCTGGATCAGAGAAGAACTGTCGCTGAATGGTCTCCCACAGTCTTTACACTTGTAGGGTTTTTCTCCAGTATGAACTCTCTGATGTTTAATGAGATGGGCACTCAGGGTGAAAGTCTTTCCACAGTCTTCACATTTGAAGGGTTTTTCTCCGCTATGAGTTCTGTGGTGTGGTGTGAGTGAGGAACTGTCACTGAACGCCTTTCCACATTCATTGCACATATAGGGTTTTTCCCCAGTGTGAATTCTGCGATGTTTAGTGAGCGATGCACTATAGCCAAAGGCTTTTCCACACTTACTGCATTTATGCGTTTTTTCTCCAGTCTCAGTACTCTCATCTTTATTCACAGTGGTATCCTGACACAAAGCTTTCCAGCATTTATCACATGTGGAGTTTTTCCCATTAGCAGCTCTCTTACTAAGGGATGAGACCCAAGTAAAGGATATACCACAGCTAGTGCACGTCCTCGTTTTATCCCTCGAATGAATTTTCTTATGTTTCTGACGTTCCCTACGAGATGAAGAGTGACTTAAGGCTTTCCCACCTTTACTGCATTTCCGTTTTTTTTCTCCAGCATGTTCTTTGCGGTTCAGAACAAGGCCTGAATGGAAACTGAAGGATTTCTTACATTCGTTATACCTCCGAGATTTCTTCTTTAAGTAGACTCTCAGATGTTTAATTATGTCCGAAGTTTGTCTGAAATTCTTGCCGAAGAGGCTGTTTTCGGCGGCAAGGCCTGACCTCACAACGAGGCTTCCACCCGAGTTTTCATCCTTCTTGCCTCTCCTGTGAGCTTTCTTTCGGGTGACTACTTCTCGGGGACGTTTCTGACTACTGTGGTCCTTCTCTAACCTGTCACCACTTTCTCCCATCATTAAGTCACAATCATCACCCCTAAGGAAACTTTCCATGACCGCATCCAGACACAATTCTTCCGTAAAACCATCACGATTTGGAATGGAGTCCTTTGATTTACATCTAGGATCATGTTCTAAAAGAAATAAACAGAAAATTTCCTGTTTGGAATAAAGAAAGCTGCTATATGAGGGGCTAAAACAGAATATAGAAAATAATGAGTATAAAGAACATGGCTTGGACAGTTCTCAAACAAAGGCTTGTGAACAGAGCCTTAAAAAACAAGGAAAGGAAAGGAGACATAGAAAAACAAGGTAAACATAGCAGCTGAACAACAAAAACAAACTCCCTGCTATCAAATCAATTCAGACTCACAGCAACCCCCATTGGGTTTCCAAGGCTGTAAATCTTTATGGGAGCAATGGCCCCACCTTTCTTCCATGGAGTGGCTGGTGGGTTCAAACCCTTGATCTTTTGGTTAACAGGCAAATGCCTTAACCACTGCGCCACCAGAACTGTTTAACACAGCAGTTAGGAAGATGAAAAGTTTATGCTTTTCAGTTAAGAGATGAAAGTCCTGACCCACATTTTAAATCACTTTAATAGGCTCCCAACCTATCTTTCCCTGAATCCAAACTTTTCTCTTTCAAAATAATAATAAAAGCACACACATTGATTGAATGCTTGCCAAACACCAGGTCCCATGCCGAGTACTTTACTTGTCTTATTTCATTGAATCTTCACAACAACCCTATGAAGTAGATCCTATAATTATCCATTTTATAGATGTAACAACTATGTACATAGAATGTAAGTGGCCTGCCCAAGATCATGTGGATTATAAGTGGTAGAGCCAGATTTCTAACCTAGTCTGATGTCAAAGGTCATGGTTTTGATCTCTATACCATACTGCTTCTCTTTAAAGGAGCCAAATGGCACATGTTTTACAGAAAATGTTAATCACATCACAGACATGCAATAACACTGATGCTACACTTTCAAAGGTTTCCACAATCTGGTCTTATTCTATTTATAAACACTTGCTGATATACTTATCGGGCATCCATTACTGTCCATGCCACATTGTAGTATTTTCAGTCCTCTTTTTTTTGGTATTGCCACTTACTATTATTTACAATGCAATCCTATAGCACCCTCATCTATCACAAGCATTTAAATTTTACAGGGCCTAGAGGGAAGACAGCCTGGTGATCTGCATTCAAAAGGTCACAGCCTTGCAAACCCCATGGTGCACAATTCTACTGTGCACACATGGAGTCACCAGGAGTCACAAATGACTCAATGGCAACTAACAGCAGAGTGCAAGTCCCACAGTCTCCACAAAGCTTTCTCCATCCAGTGACTGTTAACCTGGAAGGATTAATATTTACAGATATTGAAATCTATATACCTATACATTTAGACATACATGTGTATATGAAAAAAGTCCCCCTTTACAAATGCCATTATACTAAAGGCTTATATTGTACATGCTGTTTACTGGGTGAAGTCCTACTTATCCTTCACGATTCAGTTCAAGTTTAATTCAGCCACTGCTCCTACCAATTCCATAGCTCCTTGTACATGTATTAGTTAGCACTCATCACATTGCTAACATTTTTTGTTTTAATACACTCCTATGGTGTTCATGAAAATGCACCTCTCAGACCTTCTCCTGTAGGAAGTTTGCTTGAAGCCCTTGCTGCTAAAGAATATGGACCCTTCACTGCATTCATACCAAGGCCACTTTCCTGTGGCTGCTCCCAAATGATGACTGTGTGTGGCAAGGATACTGAGGCTGGCACTTTTCTGCAAACAAGTGACTCCTCGGAAGGGCAACGTTGGTACAAGGGCTCCCTTTTGACTTTGCCAAAGCATTCTTAGAATGACACTGCAGTCTAAGAAGACTCTCTCCCTTCCTTCCCTCTCTCATTCACAGGGGTCAGGTCTGTGTCATGCTCTGATAGTTTTCCCAGCCTCTTTCTGTTCCCTCTCCCTTTTCTTACACTAGAATTTTCCCCAATAAATCTCTTACATGGCTAATCATTTATTGGCATCTACTTCTCCCAGGAACCAGACTGACAGTCTCTCGCATTAAAATGAGTACTCCAGGAAGAAGGGCTGTACTTCAGCCCATTCAACATTTCACAGGTTCTTCTCTACTGACCTGGTGAGCAACCGTTCTAATTTCCCTGACTTTTTTCCAACTTACCTGGTCTGGAGCCTTTGGACACTTCTTTTTCCAGTAGCCATGGCATCACAACCCACTTCAGCTGGGCAATCAAATCTAGTTTGGAAACTGGAAAACCTGCTCATAGATAGAGACAAAAATGGAAAATGGTTGTTTACGCATAGAATAAAGATATCGTCTCTGGTCCTTCAGGGAAGATTGAAGATACCTTTCAATACAGAAATCTGAAGAGGAAATGGGCGAAGGCAAGGCCTCAACAACAACCAAGTGAAGCTTTACGTTTCTGGTTCGAGGAAGCAAAGGCCCATCTTTGGAGGAAATGTTGTAGAAAAGTACGTTTTTAGGACCCAATTTTAGGATTAGTCATCTTAACCCCTGCATGTCCAGCCAAAACAAAGTTAAAGTACTTCACATAACACTTATCTTTCAATAATAACAGGAGACAAAAGGAAAGCCAACTAAGATGCTAGCTCTTGAAGAGATGTCTTTACCCAGAAATTCCAGGTTCCTAAAGTTCTCCAGTAGAACTTCCACAAATAGCTCCTTTTGACAAGGCTCCAGCCTCTTCCACTCTCCCCTGGAAAAATTCACAGCCACATCTCTGAATGTCATGGATTCCTGGAACACCAAACACAGATATTTTACATTGGTACAATCAAGAGGTCACAACCTTGCAAACCCCACCATGCACAATTCTACTGTGCACACACGGAGTCACCAGGAGTCACAAATGACTCAATGGCAACTAACAACAGAGTGCAAGTCCCACAGTCTCCACAAAGCTTTCTCGAAACATCTAATGACTGTTAACCTGGAAGGATTAATATTTACAGATATTGTAATATCTGTAAGACCCTAAGACCCTAAGGATCCAAAGAAGTAGTCAGGATATAAAGTAATGGCTTTGACAGCATTCAAATTTTCAAGAACTCCAAAGCAAGCTATTACATGACAAATATCACTATGATCATCTGTAGTACAAGTGATGCAGAACGTGGGTATGGTACAATCCCTGCCTCTCCCATTCAGCCTCTGCTAAGAAATGCTGTACAAGGATTCTCTGGAATGACTAACACTGATCAAGTTCCCCACTGATTCCACAATTCAGAGAAAAATATTAAATGAAAGGTATAATTTATATTTCCACACTCCAAATGCATGGAATTAATATAAGCTAACCATACATAATATATAAGAAGCTCTAGTGGTGTAGTGCCTAAAGCATTTGACTGCTAGCTAGACGGCTTTAGTGGTTCAAACCTACCAGCCACTCTGTTGAAGGAAGACTAGGCAATCTACTTCTGTAAGGATTTACTGCCTCGGAAACCCAAAGGGGGTTGCTATGAGTTGGAATTGACTTGATAGCAGTGAGTCTGATTTTTGGTATACATAATATATACATAAAAGTAGTATCAAGTACCAAAACCGGGCAAAGACATTACTGAAATGGAAAATTACAGACCAATATCCCTCATGAATATGGATGCAAAAATCTTCAACAAAATACTGGCCAATAGACTCTAACAACATATCAAAAAAATAATACATTACGACCAAGTGGGGTTCATGTCAGGTATGCAAGGATGGTTCAACATTAGAAAATCAACATCATCCAGCACATAAATAAAACAAAGGAAAAGAATGATATGATCATATCAATCGATGCAGAAAAGGTGTTTGATAAAATTCAACACTCATTCCTGATAAAAACTGTCAGCAAAATAGGAATAGAAAGAACATTCTTCAGCATAATAAAGGGCATCTTGCAAAAGCAACAGCCAACATTATTCTCAATGGAGAGAGACTGAAACCATTCCCCGTGCAAACAAAGGATGTCCTCTATCATCATTTCTATTCAACGTTGTATTGGAAGTCCTAACGAGGGCAATAAGGCAAGAAAGGGAAATCAAAGACATCCAAATTGGTAAGGAAGAAGTCAAACTATCACTATTTGCTGATGATCCTATACCTAGAAAATCCAAGAAACTCAGCAAAAAAAAACTACTGGAACTAATTGAGAGATTTAGCATAGTGGCAGGATACAAGATCAACATCCAAAAATCAGTTGGATTCCTCTATACCAACAAAGAGATTCCTGAAAAAGAAATAAGGAAATTAATACCATTTACAATAGCTACCAAAAAAAATAAAATACTTGGGAATAAATCTTACTAGGGACACAAAAGACCCATACAAATAAAACTACAAAAGACTACTTCAAGAAACCATGAGAGATCTACATAAACAGAAGAACATATCATGCTCATGGACAGGAAAATTGAACATTGTGAAAATGTCAGTTCTACCCAAAGCAATGTATACATTCAATGCAATCCCAATCTAGATCTCACCAGCATTCTTTAAGAATATGGAAAAACCAATCACTAACTTCATATGGAAAGGAAAGAGACCTCAGATAAGCAAAGGATTACTGAAGAAGAAGAAAGTAGAAGGTCTCACACTGCCGGATCTCAAAACCTACTACACAGCCACAGTAGCCAAAACTGCCTGGTATTGTGGTGGGAGGGGAGGAAGGCAATACTACCAAAAAAAAAAAAA